ACCGCGACGTCGTTGGCACGTTAGACCGCATATACGCCAACCCGCATCCCAAGCAGCGCGGTGCGGCGCAGGCAGAGGAGCAGACCCGGGAGGACATCCGCGCGAAGCAGTCCGGGCATAGTCCGCAGATGGAGGAGAGCATTTACGGACGGCATTTGCAGCAGAACCCGTTCGCTATGCAGCGCGAGCAGGATGCGTTCCGTACGGTCAGCATGGATTGGCATCGATTCATACAGTTCCCGTCCGCGTACGACGCCCAGCAGGTCCACCCCGACGTCCACCGTCGCATCAAACAGGAGCAGGACGACCGGAAGTTCGACCGGTGGCAGCAGATCCGGTCGATCGACGTGGACCGCGAATTGCAGACCATGTATGGCGCCGACGCCCGGTTTCGCGGGAAGCAACGCAAAGCATTACAGGCCATCATTAGTGGCCACGCCCGCATCGTCGTCGTCATGCGGACCGGCGGCGGCAAGAGTTTATTGTTCATGTTGCCCGCCGCGGCGTCCCGCGATGGCGTCACGATCGTCGTCATGCCCAAGATCATGTTGCAGGAGGACATGGCCGAGCGATGTCGCCGCGACGGCATCCCGTGTGCGATTTGGAGCGACGACCGCGCCCCGCCGTACGACGCCCGGATCGTATTCGTGATTGCGGAGTCCGCCGTGTCCCAATCGTTCGCCGATTTCGTGAACGCGAAGATGTTCAACCAGCAGTTAGACCGCATCGTCATCGACGAATACCATTCCGTTATGCAATCGACGGCGACGTTCCGGCCCAAGGTGTTACAGTTGCGCGAGTTGGCCCACCGGCAGACCCAGATCGTGTATTTGACGGCGACGTTGCCGCCCCGGTGCGAGTCCGCGTTTATAGCGACGTTGGACATTGCGCCCAGTGAGGTGTTCATAATCCGGGAGTCGACCGTGCGGCCCAACATCCGGTACCGTGTGGTCCCATACGACGGCGAAAGCGCCACGTTGCAGCAGATAATCGCCGACAAATTGGCCCAGTACCCGGCCGCCGATCGCATTGTCGTGTATTGCCGTACGATCCGCGAGATGCACCGATACGCCGAGGAGATGGGCGGCGCCGTGTTTTACAGCACCGTCGGCGACATCCAGCGCAAGCGCGAGATCATGCGGATGTTAACCGAGGGCGAGGAACGATTGTTTTGGTCCACTAGCGCGTTAGGCGAAGGCATCGACGCCCCGACGATCCGCGTCGTCATCCACGTCGGAGGCATTAACATATTAAGCGATTTCGCCCAGCAGAGCGGCCGCGCCGGGCGCGATGGGGTCACCGCCAGCGAGAGCATCATCATGCAGGCCGAGCGACGGACCCCCCGAGGATGGTCGTATCCCGTCCGGACCGGCCGGGAAGAGCCCGAGATGTTAGCATATTTAGCCGGTCAGCAGTATCGACGGGTCGTGTTGGATGCCGAGATGGACGGCGATGTGACCCGCACCGGTTGCCGCACCGGCGAGGTGTTTTGCGACGTATGTCGAGGCGTTAGCCGCAAGCGATCCCATTCATCCACCGCCCCATCCATCGCCCCGGGCGTAACCAAGTGGTTCCGCGTCCGCGAAAGGGCCCCCATTACACCCATATCATCCCAGATCGCTATCCAACGCCGCCAGGTCGAGCAAACCGAGCAGCAACGCCAGCAGGAGGACCAGGCGCACATCCAGCAGCAGGCCATCGCCCGGGCCGAATAGCAACGATACGAACGCCAGCAGGAGCAGTAGCAGCGTCAACAACGCGATCGCACCGTTGCATCCGCCAGCATGTCCGAACGGTTGATTGTATTATTCGACGCGTGGACGACCGGGTGCAACGTGTGCCGCATGCAAGGCCGACCGGTAGGACGGAAGGGTTGGCGTATATGTGGATGTATTTCCGGATCCGAGATCGAGGAGATTGATCAGATAGGTCGGCAGTTAGTCCAGGTCCAATGGGCCCACGCGTGGACGGCATGCCAGGCGTGTTGGGCGCCCCGAGGGATATGCCACGTATGGGAACCCGTCCCCGGTGCCGGACCCCCACGATATCAACGACGTCCGAAGCCGTATTCATGTTAGTATCGCGGGACGTTAAAGGAGGCCGTGGCGATCATTATGTTTCATTTTGGCAAGCCCGTTACCGCATGGATAATTGACGAGATCGAGCGGATGCGTTTACGCCAAGGTAGCCCCGGTTCGACGATAGAAAAGCAGGAATGGTTAGGGACGACCATCCGGATCGACGGCGTCGAGATGAGCGGCATGGTATGGTTGTTCCATCAATGGGGATCAGGTATAGCGGTCCCATCCGGCGACGATTCATACCGTTCCGACCAAGTAGTGTAGGTTTTATTTACGCGTCCCGGACCATACGCCCGCCAGGGTTAGGGTTAGGGTTAGGGTTAGGGTTAGGGTTAGGGTTAGGGTTAGGGTTAGGGTTAGGGTTAGGGTTAGGGTTAGGGTTAGGGTTAGGGT